TTTTCTCTGACTTCTCTAATGCATGGCCAAATTTCTGCTGGCATTGTTAAATTTTACCCACATTATTTCTAAAAAGCTATAAATAATCTACTTATTTCTTGCAACAGGGTTTCACATAATCTCAGCCCAGCTTTGAACTCTTGAACCTCTGGTCTCCTGGTTTGTGCAGTGCTGGAGAGGGAACTTGGGGCTTCCTGCATGCTAGGCAAACACCTATCAAGTGAGCTGCATCCTCCAGCCCATTGTCCTCAGTTTTTTTTACAGAGCTAGTGCAGTGGGTTTCTAGTAAAATCATTCCAACCAGGGCCGGTGATAGGGCTCAGTGGGTAAAGGTGTTTGCTGCCAAGTCTGCGTTCAATGCTTGGGACCCACATGATGGGAGAACCAACTCCTGAAAGTGGTCCTCCGACCTTCACACCTGCAGTGTGGCATGATTACCACCCCCAAATAATAATTATGTTTAAACATTTAAAATAACTCTAACTAGCATAGCATCTAGTCCAGATTTTTTTTTTTAATGCTGGGGGTAGGACTCAGGCCCTCATGCCATACTAGGCAATATAACCAGAAGACACATCCACGATTTCCTCAGACACATCATTTTCAGTGACATAACCATGACTAGAGTCCAATGTCCTGTTCGCCCTTTCGTGAACATTTTCCCACGTAACTGAAAATAGACAAATATTGGATGAGTGGATGACTGCATGGCGTGTTAATTCGCTTGGCCCTCAGCTCGTACACAGCTCCGCGTCTAATGGACTCAATGCCCTGCAGAGAAACGCTCAGCCGCCTCTTGCAGTCTCAGGCCATGACGGCAAGGGCAGTCTGTGTCGCTTGTGTGTGACCCTGCTGCCTTCAGGAGTCTTCTCTCCTCCCGCCTCTCCCCTGCTAGGCCAGGCCTCAGTGCCAGGACACCGAGTCCCAGCCCTCTTGCCTTGGTGTGACCAGATTCTGAAGGCCATTTCGGCCCCAGGCCCCGCCACATCTTGTCTCCTTCACTTCCCAGAGCTCTCTAATTTAAACTTCCCACGGGCAACCCTGTCTCAGAGCTTTTTTTTTTGCCCCCCCTGGGAACTGAGCCTTTCCACTTTTCTGTTGCAAAAAATAAAAGATTAAAGTAGGAAAAGAGCTACATCAAGCCGTGTGGCTGGAAGCCTAAGATCTCCCAGAGTATGCCTCTATCACGGGCAGGAGTTGATTTTCTCTTAAAGCAGACACAGGCGTGCATGCTGCTAATCTCCAGGGTGGGGAGGTGAAGGCAGGGTGATCAAAAGTTTTAGGTCTGCCTTGGTATACAGTGAGCTTGAGGCTAATCTGAGATATATGAGACCCTGTCTCAAAATTATTTTTACATCCCAATTTATATTCTTAAAAATAGTGCCAGGTCTAGAGTTATTTTATACTGACTTTTATCTTTAACTGTGTGTGTGTGTGCGCTCACACATGTGAGTACAGGTGCCCAGAGGGTGGAGAAGAGGGTGTCATGTCCCCCGGAACCAGTCATTGTCGTTTGGGGAACTGAACTTGGGCTCTGCAATGTGCAAGAGCAGCACGTGGTTTTAATCACTGAGTCGCCTCTCCAGTCCCACTTAAAATTTTGTTTTGTTTGAGACAGGGTTTCTCTCCATAGCCCTGGTTGTCCTGGAACTCACTATGTAGATCACGCTGGCCTTGAACTCACATAGATCCTCCTACCTCTGCCTCCAGAGCGCTGGAAAATAAAAATGTGAACCACCATGTCTAGCCCCACATAACATTTCTTTAAGATAGTAAAGCCAGAGGCTGGAGAGATGGCTCAGCAGTGGAGAACACTGTTGCCTCCTTCAGAGGCTCTGACTTCAGCTCCCGGCATCCAATTCAGTCTCGTTATGATCTCCAGGAGCTCTAACACCTCTGGCCTCCACAGGCACCTACACTCACATGCACATATCCACATGCAAGCATAAACATAGCCACACATAAAAATGAACCTAAAAAAGACAGTAAAGGGCTGGAGAGATGGCTCAGAGGTTAAGAGCACTGACTGTTCTTCCAGAGGTCCCGAGTTCAATTCCCAGCAACCACATGGTGGCTCACAACCATCTGTAATGAGGTCTGGTGCCCTCTTCTGGCCTCTAGTCATACATGCTGTATACATAATAAATAAAAAGACAGTAAAACCACATCATATTGTGTATTTATTGTATCTCACAGATCATGTTCTAATGATTTCATTATTACGGAGGCAGGGTCCCACACATCACAGGCTATCCTCAAACCTGCTATGAAGTTGAGGTTGACCTTGAACTTCTGATCTTCATGCCTCCACCCCCCCCCCCCCCCAAGCGCTGGGAACCACTATACTTGGGTTATGTGGTACTGGGGACAGAACTTGGAGCTTCAGAACACACACTAAGCAAGCATTCTGCTAACTGAATCATACTCCTATGCCCAGAATTAGTTTTTAGATTAGTAGAGCAGTATGGGACTCTCCAGGTATCCTTGGGTTGCCTGACAAGGACAGGCACAAAATCTTGGTAGGAACGTTCTAGCCCATACCTCCACAGACCCCTCATAGAATTGCCAGTGTGCACTCTATTTCATCTGTTCTTTTTCTTGCAGTACTGGAGATTGGATCCAGACCGTGTGCATACTGGACAAGTGCTGTACCACTGAACTACAGCCCCAGCCCTTCACAAGTCCAGCTCAAGATAGACATATGTGGGTCAGTGAGACGGCTCAGTAGAAACAAGGTGCTTGCTGCCAAACCTGAGGACCTGAGCTGTTTCCAGAGAACCAACTCCCAAAGTTATTCTCTAATTTCCACATGTGTGGCATAGCATGTACAAGTATGCAATCGCAGGTGCATACACACACACACACACACACACACACACACACACACACACACACACATTACAGCTTGACTCTGAAACGTCCCCCACAGGTTCGTGTTTTAAGTGTTTTGTCCCTAGCTTGTAGAGCTATTTTGAAGTGTGTGGAACTTTTAGGAGGTGTCACCCGATTGGCACAGTAAGTACTAGAAACAGTCGTTTTAATGCTAGGCTCGCCCACCCACTCCCCGCCTGTCTGCTGCCACGTTCTCCTGAGGCGTCACCCCCACCGTCGACTAAGTCATGAGGCAACACAAGCCCTTCCGTGAGTTGCTCTTCGGCTGCCCTATCACAGCCGTGCAAAAGCAACCGTCACAATAAAACCTGAATCTGTCCTGAGCCAAGAGGAGGATGGATGATCTAGGGATTTGATAACACAGGGCAAAAAGCAAATATGTGTTCCAGACTAGCCAGGGCTACCTAGAGAGACCGTCTCAGAAAACAAAACTAAAACAACCAAAAGCCCTGTGCCTGTCAACACTTGGTATTTGTCAGCCATCCTGATTTGGGCCATCTAATAGAGACATCACAGGGTGTCACTCATTTTAATTCCCAGTGTCTGACAATGCTCAGCAGTTTTCACGCTGTATCTGTCATTTACATATCTTTAAAAATCCTGATTGTAGCCGGGTACAGGTGGCGCACGCCTTTAATCCCAGCACTCGGGAGGCAGAGGCAGGTGGATCTCTGTGAGTTCAAGGCCAGCCTGGTCTACAGAGCAAGATCCAGGGCAGGCACCAAAACTACACAGAGAAATCTTGTCTTGAAAAAAACAAACAAAAAAAAAAGAAGATGATTGTGTGTGCTTTATGTAATGATACAGCATAAGTGTTTAGTTGTCAGAGGCCAACTCGCAGGATTGGGTTGTCTCATTCCACCATGTGGGTTCCAAGAGGAAACTCAGGCTGCCAGGTTCATACAGCAAGTTAACACCACCCACTGCACGATCTTCACAGCTCCTGTGCATCCATTCAAATACTTACTTTTACCATTGGGTTGAGGGGCTGGAGAGATGGCTCAGTGGTTAAGAGCACTGGCTGCTCTTCCAGAGGTCCGAGGCTTAATTCCCAGAACCGACATGACAGCTCACAACCACCTCTAACTCCAGTTCTATGGGATCTGACCTTTTTTGGTCTCTGTGGGCACCAGACACGCAAGTGGTGAACAGACATACATGTAGGTAAAATACCCATACACATAAAATAATTTTTCAGTTGGTTGCTTGCTTCAAGACTCCTTTATTTTTATTATGTATATGTGTGCATCATTTGTTGGTTTGAGTTTGTGCGTGTGAATGCAGCACCCTGGGAGGCCAGTAGAGGGCATTGGATCCCCAGGAGATGGAGTGACAGCTGTGAGCTACCTGACATGGGTGCTGGGAACTGAAGTCAGGTCCTAGGGAAGAGCAGCAAGAGTTCATCTCTGAGCCATCTCAGGCCCTGATTGGTTTCTTTTTTTTTTTTTTTTTTTAAGATTTGATTTAATTTTATTTTGTGTGCATTGGTGTTTTGTCCAAATTCATGTCTGTGGAATCCCCAAGAACTGGAATTAGGCAGTTGTGAGCTGCCATGTGGGTGCTGGGAATTGAACCTGGGTCCTCTGGAAGAGCAGCCAGTGCTCTTAAGCGATGAGCCATCTCTCCAGCCCCTGCTTGGTTTCTTATTCTCAGTTCTTTATATAGTCTGATAAATCTTTTTACAAACCTGCTAACATATATATATATATTTTTTGAGATGGGTTTTTTTGTGTAATCTTGGCTGTCTTGGAACTAGCTCTTTAGATCACGCTAGGCTCAAACTCAGAGATCCTCCTCCTGCTGCCCCTGTTGCCCTAGTGCTGGGATTAAAGGTGTATGCCACCACCACCCTGCTAACATATATTCTTTATGCAATAAGAATTATTAAATTATATGACACATATTATCTCAACTGATTTTTCACTAATTTTTTTGTTCTTTTTTTTTTTTTTTTTTTTTTTGGTTTTTCGAGACAGGGTTTCTCTGTGTAGCTTTGCGCCTTTCCTGGAACTCACTCGGTAGTCCAGGCTGGCCTCGAACTCACAGAGATCCGCCTGGCTCTGCCTCCCGAGTGCTGGGATTAAAGGCGTGCGCCACCACCGCCCGGCTCTGTTTTGTTTTTTGAGACAGAGTTTCTCTGTGTAGTCCTGTCCTGGAACTTGCACTGCAGACCAGGCTGGCCTTGAACTCACAGAGATCCACCTGCCTCTGCCTCCTGAGTGCTGGGATTAAAGGCATGTGCCACCACTGACCAGTGAAAATGTTTTTTAGCTTTGATAAACTCCTGTTATCATCACTATCATGTATCTGGCAACACTCAGGGTCAAATCTTGTAAAGCACTGGGGAGGCAGAGGCAGGTGGGTCTCTGAGTTCAAGGCCAGGGCTGCAGTGAGAGCATATCTCAAAAAAAAGAGAGTGTAGCCATCTACAGCATTCCACAATCATGTCCAATTGTAATCCAAATACAGCTAATTCTACAAAGACCACGTAGTCTGAGAGAGGGCCATCACTTCCTAAAAATGTTGGATGTCTTTATTTTGTAGTGATCCAAAGTGATTTTGATATTTCACCAATCTATCTTCAGAAGACTGCTTAAAATGTCTTTATGGGGGCTGGAGAGATGGCTCAGTGGTTAAGAGCACTTGCTGCTCTTCTAGAGAACTCAAGTTCAATTCCCAGCACCCACGTGGCAGCTCACAACTGTCTACAACTCCAGTCCCAGGGGATCCAATACCCTCTCCTGACCTCTGCAGACACGCATGCTCACGGTGCTTAGACATTTACACAGGCAAGGGGAAAATTGTCTTTATAAGAACACAGAGAAATAAGCCACATAATTATTTGTTATCTGCAGAAATAACCACAGGACTCTGGGAAACAATGGTTACTCTCAGTAGAGCTGGCAGAAAAATGTTAATTTTTTACCAACTTAATATTTTGAGAATTAAACATCAGTTTAATGGGGCATTTTATATTTAGCAGTTGTGTTTCCCGTGGGGTGAAAAGTCACCAACCTGGTAAAATGCTTCATTGGCAAATAGCTTTGGTAAGACCAAAACACCAGCCAAAGGGAAAAAGAAGAGGGCCCCACCTCCCCAGGCACTCAGTGGCCGGGTACGGGCTGCCTGACAGTGAGAAGGGGCAGCATGTCTATGTCCTCAGAACACCGAAGTGCCCTGCAGCCCTCAGCCTGTTGCTCATGTGCGACCCGCTGCTGCTTCAGAGAGAAACATCTGCGTGCCCAGGACTTTTGACAGGTATGTATTTAAAGTCAGAAGGAGCAGAGGCGGGCTGGGTCCTGGAGACTTTACTGCTTCTGAGTTGGTGCATCACAGTACGGCACGTTTTCTGTTAGAAGATCTTTCCTGGGAACAAGTTCTACGAGGAACACAGAGAGACCAGTGGTTAGATGATTAGAACTCCAGTCTGATTATCCTCAAATCAGACCCAAGTGCCAGCACACTCACTTCCCCCACAAGTTCCAACTGTAAACTGTCTCGTTTAGGAACCATACACATAACTCTTCTAGAGATATTTTATTTCAGTTGATGTCTGAGGTGAGAGCTTTGACTCTAAATGGAGGCATTTAATAAGATCCTCATTCATGTTACATAAAAACATACAACCGAGTCCATCATTTTACTAAACATGACTAATTAATCAACTAAACACAACTAAGCTAAAAACACATTATAATTGGCCATCTGTCAATTGCTAATTAAAAATGTCACCTAGAAATGTTTTTTGAGAGAGGGCTTCATATAGCTCAGGCTAGTCTTGAACTCCCTATGTAGCTGAGGCTAACCTTGAACTCCTGATCCTCCAGCCTCCACCTCCCCATGATGGGATTATAGGTGTAGCACACCTTGCCTGGCTACTTGGAAATTTTTAAAGAAAGCAAGACATCACTCTCGTAACTTAGGAAGTCCTCATCTACAGTGAGGAACTGTGGTGACGGACAGTGTCCCCACGAAACACACTGCTCAACAACAAACAACTGTTGACTCCTAGGCAAGACAACTTGATAATGTCAGGATAAATTGTTAAAATAGAAAATTTGGGGGCCTTAGAGATTACTCAGTGGTTAATGTGCTTGCTATGATAATGTGAGGACCAGAGAGTTCAGATTGCCTAGCGAGACTAGCCATATCAGAGAAATCCTGCTTCAACAAATAAAAAGAGCGATGGAGACAATTCCCAACGTTAAGTTCAGGGGTCCACATGCACGTGCAGCCACACATATGTAAAAACACACTTGTGTGTATGTTCAACACACACACACACACACACACACACACACACACACACACACACATACACACGAAAAATGGAAAAAGGAAAAAAGAGAAAACTGCCCAGATATGCTGGTACACGCCTATAATCCCAGTGATCATAGGCAAAGGCAGTAAGATCTGCATTCAAGGCCAGCTGGCAGGCCAAAGCATGACCACGTTGATCTGAGCTACGTGAGACCCTGTCTCAAAGGCCCTGGGTCCAATACTCAGCACTGAGAAACAACAAAACAAAATTGAGGAGATCTATCACTTCCCTTTGAGAAGACAGAACCCAGGTATATTGTCCTTGTACTGCCCTGTGTGGTGGCTCACACTTTCACCTTGCTGGGAGGCTAAGACAGGAGGATCACCATGAGTTCGAGGACAGTTTGAGCTACAGAATGAGTTTCAGACCTGTGTAGCTAAAGTCTAAAATCTGTCTCAACAAAAGCAGAGCTGGGAATGTGGCTTGGTTAGCAGAGTGCCTGCCTATATGCATGAGGCCTTGAGTTGTACCTGGGAGCGGTACACACTTACAATCCTGGCCTCAGGAGGCAGAGGAAGGAGAATCACGGTCATCCTCAGCCATGTAGGAAGTTTGAGGCCAGCCTGGGGCAGATGAGATTCTGTGTCAAACAAAAGAGAGCAAATGCTCCCCTAATAACCACTCTCAGAACTACCCACACTAGATACTGTGTGGAACCTCAGTGGCATTCTGGACCACAGGGGGAAAAGGGTCCCTTCTGCTAGAAAAGGCCTTGATAGGACAAAAGAAAAAAATGTCGGGCTGGAGAGATGGCTTAGAGGTTAAGACCACTGACTGCTTTTCCAGAGGTCCTGAGTTCAATTCCCAGCAACCACATGGTGGCTCACAACTATCTGTAATGAGATCTGGTGCCCTCTTCTGGCCTGCAGTCATACATGCTGTATACATAATAAATAAATAAATCTTTAAAGAAAATGTCAACGAGAGTATTGCATTAATGTCAATACCCTAGTTTTGATGATTAAACTGTGGTTAAGCAATGTCCTTTATATTCAAGAAATGCACATTGAGGGGACTGGGCTCACATCTTTATTCCCAACACTCAGGAGACAGAAGTAGTTGGATCTCTCTGAATTCAAGGCCAGCTTGGTCTACATAGCAAGTTCCTGGACAGCCAGAGATAAACAGTGAGACCTTGTCTCAAGAAATAAAAGAACAACAAAAAGAAATGCATATTGAAGCATTTTTGAAGATTTTTATTTATGTGTATGAACGTGTGTCTATGTGTATGTGTGAATGTGTATGTGTATGTGTGTGTGCCCCAGAAGGCCAGAGGAGTATGTCAGGTTCCCCCAGAGCTAAAGTTACAAGTGACTGAACTACCCAGTGTGGGTGCTAGGAAAAAGAACTTCAGTTCTCTGGAAGATCAGTATGGGCTCTGAACTGCTGAGCCATCTCTCCAGTCACACACTGAAATATTTTGAAGAAATTGTCAGGGTTGGAGAGATGGCTCAGCAGTTAAGAGCACTGGCTGTTCTTCCAGAGGTCCTGAGTTCAATTCCCAGCAACCACATGGTGGCTCACAACCATCTGTAATGAGATCTGCTGCCCTCTCCTGGCGGGAAGGTGTACATGCAGGAAGAGTACTCATACCAAAGAAAAGAAGGAAGAAGTTGTTGGTGTGATGGTACAATCCTATAATCTCAGCACTTGAGAAGTGAGGCAGGGGAATCAGGAGTTGAGTTCAGCCTGCACTACACGAGACCCTGTCCAAAAAATTAAAAAAAAAAAGATAACAACAAAACTCCACCTACAAAACTATCTAGAAGTTATCTGAAATTTGCACTTGAGTTGACAAGATGTCTCAGAGAATAAGGTTACTTGCCACCAAGCCTGACAGTCTGAATTGGATCCCTGACACCCACATTATGGAAGGAAAGCTGTCATCTGATCTCCACGTGCAAACCATGACACAGGCAATAAACACCCACCACACACATAAATTAATGAATAAAATAATGTGTCCATATGATAAATCCGGCTTATGAAGTGAGGAAGCCTCTGCTTATCTCTGACTTGTAATTATTTTTAACCAGTTATTTGGTGCTTTCATCCAACTAAGCCATAGTGTTAGTTTTAAGTTAATGACAGTAGTAATAACTTATTTCACTTACCAAACATACGTGCCTGTTTTATGCTAGGTATTACATCAAAAACTGAGATGAAGGGAACCATGAAAATTTATTTGGCAAGCCAGGCAGTGGTGGCGCACACCTTTAACACCCCAGCACTTGGGAGGCAGAGGCAGGGGGACCTCTATGAGTTTGAGGCCAGCCTGGTCTACAGGCAAATCCAGGACAACCAGGGCTACATAACAGAGAGCTCCTGTCTCAAAAAAAAAAATTTCTTTGGCTTCAAGGGGTTCATAATCCATTGGAAAGGATAAACAACAAATCACACTGTAATATAATGCTTCACAAATGTCTTTTAGAGTGAAAATGCAAGCATTTGAGACTATGGCATTGAAGAATAAATTACTAAACCCATCCATCTTACTTTAGATTATGCTCAGCTTTGAATAACCAGAAGCCACTGTGGTGTAATAAGAGATTTCACTTTCTTCCATCATGACGCGCAGCAGGCTTGAGCTAGGCAAGGCCTTGGTGCTGCTGGGAAGCCAGGGTCCTCCCTGTCCTGTCCGTTCGACCGTTCACAGCCCTTCTGAACAGCAGTCTGCCTTGCTTCTGCTTTCCCCACATCTGCACCGCAGGCAGGCAGGAAGAACAAAGGGCAGGAGGGGAACCCCACCCAGCTCATTCTTGTTCAACAAAACAATGGCTTCCGTGGAAACAACACTCAGTAGATGGACACTTAGAAAAGATGCCAGATAGTCTGGGAAGTCACATTGCATCCTTCCTTTCCACCCTCTCTGGATATGCAACATGGACATAAGCAATTCACAGAACATTCCAGTTTACTACCTGTCCCCAAAGCCTCATCCAGTTCATACTGAAGGCCTCTGGTTAATGTGTTGGTCCCCTCAGCCCACTGGGTCCATCTGTGGCCCACATCATAGACACCTACCCCACTTTAGTTGGAAATAAATGATGGGATGAAAAATAAAAACATGAGATTGGGAATCTATGGTAGTGCCCAGGCCACAGAAAATCCTAAATCCTAGGGATAGCAAAAGACAAACTTCTTAACTTGGTAACACTCAGTCTGCCAATTTGGCAGTACCAAATTCTATTTTCAAGAGACTCAAAGCCCTGCTCTGATGCACTCTACTACACAGATGCCAGATCTGGCCTCTGGGCCACTTCCTGTTTCGGGGAGATGGAGATCCTGGGGAAGATAGCCTCTTTGGGGAGCTTCAAAGGCTTTCACAGTCTACTTCCTGTCAATCTGAGTTCAGGAAACCAGGGACAGCTTTAAGAGCTGAAGTAAACTACACAAGCCTGGGTTTCTTAGCAATACAATCCACTCAAAAACTATAAACTTCAAGTCTGTTTCCAGTTGTTCCCACAAACAAGGAGGCACAGGCAAGTATCTTACCCAGTTTGAAGCAATGCAGACGACAGGCATCCTTCTTTCAATCGGCTGCACTCACTAGCTCAAACTGAGACCACTTCTTAAAGCAAGGGAAAGCAACAGCCAAGAGCTCCCGTGAGTAAGGAGGAAAGAGGCCTGCGGGCAAACTGAAAACTTCAGCAGTCTCTTTACATCTGTCTTGCGTGGGACAGTGGGACCAGTGACTGTCTGCAGTTCAAGGCTCTCCTCAGAATACAGGCGGCAGACCAAGAGAGCCCCTTAGCAAAGTGACACTCCTTCCATCTCTGCTTTGGGAGTGGACCAATCTGCAAACATTCTTTCTCAGCATCTTGCTCAAGGCAGAAAAAGCCCAACAGCACGCACTGACATTTGGGCTGTCTCTTTTATTGCTGTAGCCCCAGGTCCGTATGCACCCCAATCATCACTGACGTTATGATTTACCACTATAAAGGTCACCAGATAAGCTGGGTGGTGGTGGCACACGCCTTTAATCCTAGCATTTGAGAGGCAGAGGCAGGCGGATCTCTGTGAGTTCGAGGCCAGCCTGGTCTACAGAGTGAGTTTAC